GTGTGTGTGTGTGTGTGTATGTGTTTGCGAGTGCGTGTGTGTGTATGTGTGTGTGAGTGTGTGTGTGTATGTGTGTTTTATCATTATTTTTTAAAAACCTGAAGTATCACGTCAAGCACTCTTAGGCCAAACAATCTGGATATAGGCGATCGAAATTGGGATGCTTGAGATTTGGGAGAAAACCCCCCAGGAAATTCTGATTGAATCGGGATGAGTGGCATGCCTGTACAAATGCACGCAAAATCAGTAAAAACATTTTAAAAAATAAAAATATGACAACCACCTTTCTCCTCTTTGTGTGACTGAGAAACACACAACATTGTCCAAGAAGGCCATCCGCAGTTGAGGAGGGAAGTTGATTTTTAAGTCCCAGTAAGTATCTACCAGCTGGGAGCCTCCTTCTTTAAATTTAAGACATTGTTAAACAGGATCATGCAAAATGTGAAAATGTTGATATCAATTCAATAGAACCTACCTGCCAAAGCATGTGCATCGCCATCAAAAACTTGCTTGCGGGCTCTGTGCAAATCCTTGAAGGCTGCAAGTATCTGCAAAGAGGAGAAAACACATCATACAGTTTAAATTACTGACCGAAGATATTTTTAAAACAAAGTACGAGGTGATCATAGAAAGCTTCTGAGTCTTCAAACATTACAACACTAAACCCATGAGAGGCACAGACACAAGACAATATAAAACTATATATTTAGAATTTTGGTAAAATTTCTCTCTGTATTCTGAACCTGCTGGGCTTGCATTTGATTAGGATCTCAAAGCATACTTAGCATACACTGTATATAATATTATCAATACTTTAACAAGCAAAATGTTATATATGTATGGAACCATTTAAGACAGGACACTGTGGAATCAGACGCTTGTCAATTTCTGGGAATGTGGAATTATATTGTTATCATCTTAAAGCTTGTTCATTTATCCTGCTTTTGATGAAAACAATATCTTTCTACTTTGAACAGAAGGCAAGAAATTTGTGATTGAAGGATGTGGGAGTCGCTTTGTAATAGAGTGAAAATAAAATGGCCCCTAAAGTTTAGCTACATCCATAGATTGCAAAGTCTGGAAACTGTATATTTATTGTGCCTTTAAACATTTGTTGGGACAATCCACAAATGTTTTTAAACAGACTTTTAGGGATGTTAAGTAAAAAAAAAAAAAAAAAAAAAATTTGCCAAAACTGACAGGAAAATGCTTAGTTTCTTCGATTTCGCTACGTTGAAGAGCACCTGATTTCACTACGACGATGGCTACACTTATTTTTACGCATTTCACTTAGAATGAATCACCAATAGTCTTATTGTATCTTCCTTCCCACTTCCCAATATATGTCGGGAGGGAGGGCTGTACGCATATATGAGGCTATGCATAATATATAATATAAACATAGGGCTAGGCCTACATATGAGAGAATGAGAAGACAAGAGACAGAGAGAGAGACACAGAGAGAGAGACACAGAGAGAGAGAGACACACACACACACACAGAGAGAGAGAGAGAGAGAGAGAGA